ACGACGACACAGTTGGCTACACACAATGTGGGTGCAACTAACATTGGAGAGGTGCTCGCGAGCCTGCTTGAGAAACGGACTCTGCACCCTGTTCCCAACTCGCGGGGCGACGAGGAGGAGGAGGAGGAGGAGGAGGAGGAGGAGGAGCAAGGATGAGGAAGACCATAATCAACCCAAGACGCATCCACCGATGCTGCAGCACGCCCTCCCGCCCCAACTCGTCACAAATCCATCACAGGTGCTCCTTTCCGCTGCGGGCGCCCCAGCGGCCGTTCGGTCCGCCAGTCCGGCGAAGGCGCCTAATGTAAACGACCCCCCCTCCACTACAAGGACGCCCACAATAGGGCGACGAGATCTATGCATATCCACTGCTCCTGGCCAGGCCAATCCTGGGCCCAGGAGCTGTGTATATGCCTCCCTGGCCAGGCCAGGAGGGCGTATACACCGCTCCTGGGCCCAGGATTGGCCTGGCCAGGAGCAGTGGATATGCATAGATCTCGTCGCCCTACACAATCACCCCATTTTGAAAAACACGTGCCCTCCATCCGTCTAAGCGCTGCAGGATGTCAAAGTCGTTGGCGTATGCCCCGCGGAAATCCCACGCGATACGCCTTCAAGAAGGCCCAGGGGTAGGCTCACTTTAAAAAGAACATGCCCTCCATCCGTCCAAGCGTTGCAGGATGTTAAAGTCGTAAACGCATGCTTCGCGGACGTCTCAAACGAAAACGCCGTTTCGAAAGAGGGGCCGCCCTCCATCCGTGTTAGCTGTTGCGCTATATGGAACTCTGGGTCATAGAGGTTGAGGAAGGGTCGCGTGAATACAGAATGCGCACGAGGCGAAGGGAGGACGCGAATACGGTGGGGCGTTCGTCAAGGAATGTGCCCAAGAGGCTGCAGACCCTGGAGGATTCCTTATCTGATGAAGGCGGCGGTAAAATCCGTTGCCGATCCATGATTGGAGTTCCACTGGCTTCCAAATCCTGGGTTCCTTATCTCAGGGTTCCTAGTCCAATACCCCCGCCGTCTTGGGAACGACTTGCCATCCACTCGCGCAGCTAAGGAAAACTTGGAAGCCGATTATGCCGGGCACCAGGGCGGGTTCCTTTTTGAAAATGACCCGCCCTCTAATCATCGGTTGTTTGGTTGTTTAAAACGATGGTGTGCGTCGTCAGAAAAGCGCGAGCCCCATTGTGAAAACAATTTGTGGTCCACGGTCCAAGCGTGAATGCTATCTGAAGGTATCTGCTCATTGAGGCCTCCTGCGGCGACATGGACGATGATATTAGGATGTGGATGCTGTTACTGATGATGGTGACGGCGAACCTGGGAAAATTTGGGGAGGGATTGTAGCGTCCGGGAGCGCCTGGGCGTGTCTTGGAGCGCCTAGGGCAGCCTGTGGAGCGCCTGGGTCCAAAATCGGAGTCGGCGAAGACTGCCCGAAACGTTTTGAAATATTATGTATTTGCCATCGATGTATTGGCTGTATTTGACTGTAAAACATCAGCATACGCGCGCCAAAACAATTTTACTACATGGGATGGTGAAGACTGGGTCGGATGGATGTGCACGAAATTGCAACTGTTGCGTAGGATAGGGTCCGATGAATGCAAACCGAATAGTATGTGTTACATTCGTGGAGTTGTATGGAAGGTTGATGACGAAGACTGGGTCGTTTGGATACACACCAACAAATATATGTTGCATAGGATGGTGAGGGTTTGGGCCCGATGGATCTGCACGGAGGCATTGCTGTTGGGAGGTATGGATGTGCGCCGGATGCTGTCTTACATGTGATTGTGAGGGTTGGGCTGCATGAGCGTGAGCAGATTTATCTTTTTGTATTAGGATGATGAAGGTTGGGTCGGATGGATGTGCACCGGATATAACTTTTCATTGGGTAATGAGGGTTGGGTCGTATGGATGTGCGCGGCGCTCAGGCGAGAGCCAAACTTTGACAAGGAACACGACTCCGTCCTTGAAGCTGCTGTGCTTTGTTAGGAAGAATGTGCGCGGCGCTAGGGACGGTAAGCTGCAAGTGCACATGGACCTCTGAGCTGTAAGTGCAAGTTTGCGTTGCATTTTACGTTGGATCTTCACGTTGGATCTGTACGTTGGTCTTTTACGTCATTTGTACGTTGGACTTCTACGTGTTTTATGTATTTATTTTTTCGTTGGGTTCTTACGTGGGATTTCCGTGTCGGAGTTTGGAGGAGCCTCTTTCTTATGTTTATGTTCGCGTTTGAGTTTTACTCCAACATTTCAGGTGGAGGTGTTTAACATAATGTGTGTGTTTGTTTCTAACGTGGGATGTTTCATTCAATGCTTGACCTTGGGTTCTTACGTTGAACTTACACGCTTGATGCTTACATTGGATTTTCACATGGGGCTCTTGGGTTATTTTTTTGCGTGGGGGTAATTAATCTTTACGTTGCATATTTACGTTTAATGTTTACGTCGGATCTTTACGTTTGATTTTTACGCTGGACCTTTTCGTTGCATCTTCACGTTGGATCTGACGACGGCGATTGACTACGACGACCGACGAACGACGACGAGCGACGACGACGACCGACGACCGACGACGACGACGGCGACCGACGACGATGGATCTTGACGTTGGACCATTGCGTTGGATCTTTACGTTGGATCACTGCGTTGGATCTGTACGTTGGACCTTTACGTTGGATGTTTACGTTGGATCTATACGTTGAATATCTACGTTGGAAGTTTACGTTGGATCTTTACGTTTGATATTTACATTTGACTTCTACGTTGGATCTTTACGTTGGATCTTTACGTTGGATTTTTCCACTGTGCACTGTGCACTTCTGTGAACGCAATTGTGCACCTACTACTGTGCACCAGCGGTTTTTCAGTGTGCATTTGCGGTTGCCCGTGGGCGCTAAGGCGATACCCACATGTTGAAAACGAGCCCGCCTCCAGCTTTGAAGCTGCTACAACGATTTGAACTAAGTGCGCGACGCGGAAGCGAGAGCCACATCTGGCGAAAACCACCCAGGTTTCTTTCGTGCAGCTGCTGCACAATGCAAGCTTCAGGATCACAGCCGGCGAAGAAAACTCCAGCGAGACGCCCAGCCCGGCCTGCGGAAACGTCCAGTGGTGCGGCAGGGAGGAGGCATCTTTCAGGAAAAAGAGCGGAGGAGGAGGAGGGGGAGGAGGAGGAAAGGGAAGGGACTGGGAAGGGTAAGGAGGGGGAGGCAGAGTAGGGGCAACTATCAAGTTAGGCAGCTCGAACGTGCCAGAGGGATCCGTCCACTCCCACCCGCCCTCCCGCAACATAAGCAAGTGCGTCGCGTCCGACGCCTGTCGATTATCTTATATCGCGGGCGGGTAGACGTTCAGCGCGCGACATGAACTGCGTCCTTTTCCTGCCGCATATTGAGCAACGTCGACGAGAAACAAAAACCGCGCGCGATGTACGCCGCGCCCCGCTCCGGCCTCTCATGTTGCATCGTCGGCGACAACATGTCCAGCGCGCGAAGTGCGCCGCGTTCCATTCCAGCCACGCGCGTTGCACCGCCAATCGTTTCGCTCCTGCCGCGCGTGGAGGAGGAGGAGGAGGAGGAGGAGGAGGAGGAGGAGGAGGAGGAGAAGGAGGAGGAGGAGGAGGAGGAGGAGGAGGAGGAGGAGGAGGAGGAGGAGGAGGAGGAGGAGGAGGAGGGAGGAGGAGGAGGAGGAGGGGGAGGAGGGGAGGGAGAGAGGGAGGGAGGGAGAAACTGAGGAGGAAGAGGAGAATGCCTCTTGGGAATTCGCGGGGCGTCCTGGGAGTTTTCAGGTATACGCCTGAGGGCATCTTGGATATATCTTCCGGGTTGGAACAGTGTCAACGCAACTAGGTGCTAATCTCACAATCCTTCAAACACCACATGAAATCAATATTCGTGTTGCACCCCCAGGACCTCCTGGACGCCTTTTTTCGACCTCCCGGGGGTCTCCTGAGGCACTTTCTTAAACCGCACTTGCTTGAGGCATTCTGATTTGCCGCCCGCCCAGCTCCTCAACCCGACGGGCCGCAGCGTCGACGACAAGAAAACCCATGTTGACGAGCAGGCGTCCCCGCGCGATGTGCGCCGCGTCCCATTCCCGCCACGCGATTCGCAGCGCCGACGAGGAGAAAGCACACGTTGGCAAGCAAAACGTCGACGTTGCTGTGTTTTTTGACAAGTAGGATGGGGGGTCCCGCGTAGGGTTGGCCAGGCGTCCGCGCGTGATGCGCGCCGCGTCCCAATCATGCTACACTTTTCGCAGCGTCGACGACAAGAAAGTCCATGTTGACGAGAAAAACGTTGACATTGTATTGCTTTTTGATGGGTAGGACGCGACCACCCGCTTAGGGCCTCCCAAGCGATGTTCATTCCGTCTCATTCCTGCTACACTTTTCGCATCTCGACGGCATGTTGGCGAGAAAAACTTAGGTTTGTGCTGTTGTTTGATGATTTGGATGGCGGGGTTGCTATCGGCCGGCTAGGTGGGGATGTGGGGGGGGTTAAATCGTAAGAAGTAAGGATGGGGAGGAAGGATGAAGACCAGCGACCAGCAACGGGAATGAGGAGCAGCAAGAGGAGGAGTAGAGGGAGGTGGGGGACGAAGATAGGGAGGAGGAAGAAGCGGATCAGCAGCAGCAAGAAGAAAGCATAAGGAGGAGCAGGATGAAATGAGGAGGAGGATGCAGAATGACGATGAGGCAAGAGCGAGGAGGCAGGAGGGAGAAGGCAGGCGGAGACACGGAGACGTGAAAGTGTTGTGTTGTATCGCTGACGTCTCTCCCAGAACCCGCGCCTGCTTGCGTTTGGCTTCTTGCAGCCCCAACTAGCTACAACAAGTGGACCACCAAGCACACGAAGCATGCCAGCGGTGACTCTTACAAATCACAACACTTCCAATGCAATCACGCAAGCTCTGAATCACTTCCCCCAACAGGAGGCAGGAGGAGAAGGAAAAGGGGGGGAGGGGGGAGGGATCAAAAGCGATCAATGATCGAGGCATGCGGCCAGTCTGCTTCAGAATAACCGTGAACACGAGGTGACAAGCCGGAAGACAATGGTGATTGATCGGCAACCCCTTGGTCTGCCGGAAGAGCATGCCCAAAATGTATGCATAATTTGCTACAACTACATACATCACACGCGTTTCGCTCGCGCTCAAGTTCTACCTGCCTTACTGCCTCGCGTACAATTAGGAAATGGGGCCGTGGTCGAGGGAGCGCGAACCATGGGTCTCGACGCCGACGCGTTCGTTGCTAAAGTCACGACTAGGGTCAGTGCTCAGGTAGTATGACGGGTGCACAGCTGCACGAACAAGCACATACGTGCAACCATAGTTCCCCCCCCCCCGGCTGGCGGAAGAGGCCTCGTTTTACTTCCGCCGCCTTCCGCTGGCTTTCCGCCGAGAAATGAATGACAACTCCTTCGACTCTCGAAGGCAAAGCCTTTTTTTGGAACGCCTCATAGATTCCCACCCGCCCCCGCTGCTGTTATCCCCCGCGCTCCCCACCAACCAGTATAGGTAATGGGGAGGCGCGAGGGGATCGGGAGGCGGTGCAGGGGGAACGGAGGGACGAGATGAGCAGTGAGGAAGGACGAGGGGGAGGGAAGATGAGGAGGAAGGAGGGGAGGAAGGACAAGGACAAGGAGAACGAGGAGAAGGAAACTTAATTTGCTGGGCCCTGGCCTGAGTCGGCATTTCGTGCGACTTGATGCTTCATGGACGCTACTGAGGATTTCAACCCATGCAACGTAAAAAACAATGAGGACGAGGAACGAGAATGAGCAGGATGAGTTCAGGGAGGATCGGGCGAAGATGAGAACGATAAAGGGGATACCGAGGAACAGAGAACCCTGAAGGTTGAGAAGGAGGAGGAGGAGGAGCAAGGAGAAGAAGGATGAGAAGGAGCAGTGTGAGGATAGGGGCTGCAGAGGAAGGAGTGATGCGGCGGGTGGGTGGGGGCTCCTCCTCCTTCTCCTCCTTCGAACTTCGAGCTGTGGGCCGTACCCTTCGATGAAGCGAAGCCCTCGTCGTCCTCATCGTCGTTGCGTCGTCGTCGTCCTCCTCCTCCTCCTCCTCCTCCTCCTCCTCTGCTGCTTCCTCTTCAACCTCCTCCACCATCTCAAACTCATCGTCCATGGTGGGGTTCTCGCGCGGCCATCCCTTGGCTGTCTTGGGGTTATGTGGGCCCGTTTTGGGGTCCTCTTGTGGCTGTCTTATGGCTTTGTGGGGTCATCTTGGACCCTCTTGGGCTCTCGTGGGGCCGTCTTGGAGCCTGTGTGAGGCGTCTCCTGGCGCTTGTAAGCCGTGCTGTGGCCCTACGGAGGTCCTCTTCGGCCCTCTCGGGGACGTCCTGGGCCATCTTGGGACCGTGTTGGCTCCAAGATCACTAATGAAACGAAAACTACGGGATCCGATCAATTGTCAGGCCATGGGCTCAATAGGCATCTGAGACTGATTTGGGAGGTCTGGTTGTGGCCTCTCGGTGCCGTCTTGGGTTAATCTCGGAGATTATTGGAACGTCGTCGTCTGAGAACCCTCCTACAACATGTATCGGCTGCGAGCGAAGGGGGGGAGTGAGAAGAAGAAGAAGAACGCCTTCTCAGAAGGCGGCGGGCCTTCTTAGAAGGCCGCGGGCCTTCTGAGAAGCGTTATGAAGCGTTCTGCGTCTTCGGGGAAGGATTAGAAAACTTCTCAGAAGGCTGGGAGACTTCCGAGCCTTCTGAGAAGGCCCGCCCCTTCTCACTTCCCCCCTCGCTCGCCGCCGAATGTAAGAAGTGGGCTCCCGAGCCTTCTCCTGTGATGCAATTGGGCCCATATCGACGATGAGTAGGCAATTGGGGGTCGATGCATCTCCCCCTGAGCCTACCCAGACCCCCAACGTCGTGATTTTGTTCGCAATGTCGACCCCCAAAGGTCTGGACCCGTTCCCGGGACCAGTTTTGCATCCTGGGCCGTGTTTTGACGGTCCCAAGGCCCAGCGAGGGCCCCTGGAGGCCGAAGATAGCGAAAAACTTCAACTTCACGTCGTGATGTTTCACAACCCGAGGGGGTCTGGGCCTCAGCCTATCGCTCCCTAGCGTTGCCCCTGATCCCCGGGCGCAGGTCCGGGGTGGGGGGCCCCTGGAGGGGCGGAGGCCCTCTCGGCCGCCGCAAGGGCCCAGGTCTCGCGCGCGGCACGGAGAAGGCGGATGCCGCACGGCAAGGCCGTGCCCGACCACGCTTTGCCCCCGGGGGGGACGACAGGGCAGAGTACCCAGATCCCCTCGCGTTGTGAACAGAATCAAGACCGCAAATTCTTCACTACTCTCGGCCTCCAGAGGCCCTCGCTGGGCCTCTGGACCGTCGAAAAACGACCCGGGATGCAAAACTGGTCCAGGGGAAGGAGTCCAGATCTCTGGGAGTTGACGTTGTGAAAAAATCACGACGCCGGGGGTCTGGGTAGCAGAGGGCAGAGAAGAGAGTCGACTCACGTACACTGGAGGCCAGTCCACAAGAAAACTTTCACAAGAAACTTAACCCTGAGACCCCAGGGCGTCCATGGATTTTTTTGGTGTGGGAACGTCACGCTTTCCATCGCAAAACCATCGATACCCAAGAAACCAAGGGCACCCTAGAGGCAAGCAGGGTGTTTCTTGGCGTGGGCCCCTACTGTATCCCCCCTTTCGTCTGGCCCGGTTGGCAGAAACGCAAAGTAAGCATACGCCCGGCCACGCTTGTTTGTCAGAACCGTACCGACTCGGCAAATTTATATTAAGTCACACACTGACTGATGATGCCATTCGCTTGCTCTTTGGGGCATTTCGAACCTACTGCAAGTCCACTCCATCGAGGAGTATCGTGATCGCGTTGCGCATCGTCTCGTAAACTGCTGGGCGATGTCTGATTTTCCCCCTCCTACAAGTTCTGGCACTTGGGGGTCGTCTTGTTGTTGGATGCAGACTATGCCGTGGGCGCCTCGTGGGAACCTCGCGCTTCTTGGCTAGGTCAGCCGACACGTCGCCTGGTGCCCGAGGGCGCCCCGTGCGCTGACCTGCACCACACAGCTTGCACAACGTGTGTTTAACCACAGAGCTTGCACCACATAGCCTGCACCGTATTTGTTCCACCGCATACAGTCCATCCGTATCATAAGGATACGCGGTAAGGATGCAAGGGCCTTGGAGGGCCACGTTAGCGTTTTTCGAACGAGGTTGGCCAGCGAAAGTCGCTAAGGATGGGCCGAAGGGGCAAGGATGCAAGGGTAACCTTGGGAATATTGCCCATCCTTACCATGCGGATTGACTGTAGCTTGCACCACGTTGGTTGCACTCCATAGCTTGAACCACACCGGCTGCTGCACACCACACTGGTTGTACCACATCTGGTGCAGACCCAGAGGGCACTGATGCATGGTGTAGGGTGCACGCTGGCAACCATGCTTTCTCGTGATCGCCGCTGCTGGGGTTCCAACATCGACTCGACTAGGACACGCCACTTGCATGCATTGGCAGAAGACCTGTGCCCATCTAGGGATGTCAACACTCTTTGCCTCCATTTTGTTGCGAGGCATGCAGACGCCATGGATGGCTACAACAATGCTGCCAGAGGGGCCGCGCAGAATCCCTTGTACTTCTACTGCCAAGCCATATCTTGCCAAGCTGGCATCAGTCCAAGAGGTGCGAAAGAGACGGCCGCCGACAGTGTTCACCTGCCTTGCAATGCGGCGCCAAGACACGATGTGAATTCAGAAAGATACACATGCTTCTGCTTCCAAAGCCGTGTAACTCCATACGGTGCTTGATTGTCGGGCCACCACATCATGCCCACTGCTTGTGGCAGAGGGCACCTGGTCCGAAGCCGGTCGACCTGCTACTTGCAGAACAGAATATTGGACGACAGCCGCACGACCAACGCTGTGCGGAAGAGAATGCGATCACCAATCCCTGCTCTTGCCGCTGACTTTGCCGCTGCCTTTGCGGCCGCTTTTGCCGCTGCCCTTGCCGCTGCCTTTGTCATCGCCCTTGTTCTTGCTGCCACCCTTGCTGCCACCCTTGCTGCTGCCCTTTCCGCGGCCAGCGCTGCTCTCATCGTTGCCATTGGAAAGACCTCTGTCCAACCGAGCCGAATCGCTCGCAGAAATCGGCGCTGGTCCAGTGCGTGTCCGTATGGCCACAGCCTGATCGGAGCGGATGTCTGTGGAGCCTGCTGTAGCAGCTACCCCTCCTCCTTTCTTTCCGTTCTTGGCCTCTGGTAGCTGGAAGAACCAGTCTGGAACCTCATTCTTGGTTTCCCCGAAGAGCTTGATCAACTCAGCGGCAATCCCAGCATTGCCCACCTTGGGGTCGCGCCCAGGCACGTAGAATGAGGTGGAGATGCCCGTGTTCCCAGCGCGCCCTGTGCGGCCAATGCGGTGCACGTACGCGTCGAACTCGTCAGGGGAGGTGGGTAAATCAAAATTAATCACATGCGCCACCTTTGGAATGTCCAAGCCTCGGGCGGCAACATCTGTGGCACAAAGGACCCGCGCCTCCCCACTCCTGAATGCTGCCAATGCTGCCTCCCGCTGGCTCTGGCTGCGGTCACCGTGGATCTCCTCTGCGCCCACGCCCGCGGCCCTCAACCACTTACGCACCTGGGCAGCCACGCGCTTTTTCTGGACGAACACTATCGTCTTGCCTGGAACCTTCTCGAGCTGCTCAGTGAGGAGCTCGAATTTAAGCTTTTTGTCTGGAGTGGCTAGGACCAAGCGCTGCTCGATGTTCTCGGTGGTGCCACCAACCCTTCCAACGGCTATGAAGATATACTGTCTCATGAACTCTCCTGCAAGCTTCTGGATCTCCGCTGGAAACGTGGCCGAGAACATCAAGGTCCGCCGGTCCTTGGCGGCTGGCATGTCGCGGCGCTGCACCAACTGCCGGATCTGCGGCTCGAAGCCCATGTCCAACATCCGGTCCGCCTCGTCGAGGACGAGGTGCTCGCAGAGACGCAACTGCACAAGGCCGCGATCCACAAAGTCCGTGAGGCGGCCTGGGGTGGCCACGGCGATGTCGCACCCGCGAGCCAGATCGGCGAGCTGCTGCCGCGCCTGTGCGCCGCCATAAACCACAACGGCCTTCAAGCCACCACTGTTGTGGCACATCTTCAAGGCCTCCACATGGATCTGCTGCACGAGCTCCCGCGTGGGGGCCATGACCACGCACCGAGGCAAAGCGGGCTCATTGATGCCATCGCACTGCAAGGCGGGTTTTCTCCCTGGCGCACCGATCGACGCCACGACGGGCAGGAGAAACGCTGCAGTCTTCCCAGACCCCGTCTGCGCGCAACACATGAGGTCCTTGCCCTTGAGCGACAGAGGCAGCGCATGCTTCTGGATGGGTGTCGGCGCGCGGTACCGCATCAATTCAACGTTCCTGCTCAGGAACGGGGGCAGGGAGGCGCCGAGGTCCCGGAAATCCTCGAGCGGCTTCGCATTCTCGGAGCCGGGGCCAGAGAGGGTCACCTCGACAGGGATGGGAGGAGGGACGGAGGAGGGAGGATGTGGGGGGAGGAGGAGGAGGAGGAGGAGGAGGAGGAGGAGGAGGAGGAGGAGGAGGAGGAGGAGGAGGAGGAGGAGGAGGAGGAGGAGGAGGAGGAGGAGGAGGACGAAGAGGAAGGAGAGGAGGAGGAGGAGGAGAGGAGGAGAAGTAAAGGAGGGGGAGGAGGAGAAGGAGGAGGACTCGGAGGATGAGGAAGAGGAGGGGGACCGGGGAGGAGGAGGAGGAGGAGAGGAGGAGGAGAAAGAGGAGGAGGAGGGGAGGAGGAGGAGGAGGAGGAGAAGGAGAAGGAGAAGGAGAAGGAGAAGGAGAAGGAGAAGGAGAAGGAGAAGGAGAGAGGAGGAGGAGGAGGAGGAGGAGGAGGAGGAGGAGGAGGAGGAGGAGGAGGAGGGGGAGGGGGAGCAGGAGGAGGAGGAGGAGGAATAATAATAATAATAATAATAATAATAATAATAATGATAATAATGGTAATAATAATAATAATGATAATAATGATCATAATGATAATAATAATAATACTAATAACAATACTAATAATAATAATACTACTACTAATAATAATAATAATAATAGTCATAATAATAAAAAGAAGAAGAAGAAGAGGTGGAGAAAGTGGAGGAGGAGGTGGAGGCGGAGGAGGAGGAGGAGGAGGAGGAACAGGAGGAGGAGGAGGAAGAGGAGGAAGGGGAGGAGAGGAGGAGGAGGAGGAGTCCGCAGCCATTTTGGCTCATGCCAGGTGCCTGGCCCCATAGCCGTTGGTTCAACTGGCGGACGGGGCGCGCATGGCATGGATGGCTGCGGGATCCAGCTCGGAGGCACCGGAGCCGGCGCTGCGAGGCGCGGCTGGGGCGCGCGCTTCGGCCGACCGTCTCATCTCCAAGCTGCTGGCCGAGATCGGGCGACTTCGAGCTCAGCTGGGAGGAGGCCAGGCCTCAGGCGCGGTCGCTGTGGAGGTCGCGCGCCGCGAGGCCCTGGCCTGCCCTGCTCTCACGGCCCGAATTTGCGGTCGTGAGAAACCTCATTCGGACCGGTTGGTGAGGAACTTCGCGCTCCACGCCAGGGCGTGCCCTTCTGCGGCGGCGCCAATGGCGGCCTGGCGAGGCGCGCAGCATGGCCCTCGGCTGGGGGCCGACGGCGGCGTGGAGCTGTGCGACTTTGGCGCCGAGGACCTCATTCCCTCTATTAGGGGCCTCTTCTCCGACTTCCCGCGGGAGCCGCCGCCTCTCTCCATCACGGGTGGTGTCGTGTGGCGCGCGGAGGTACTGGAGGTGTTCCTGGCGCACAGTATTTGTGAACCTTCAACATTGTCTTCGAGTTCGTGTTTGAGTGCGAATGCTTGCCACCTTCACTCCGCAGGAGCCCTCGCTCCCACCGGAGACGGGCTCGCAGCTGCGCGCGGACGCCGCGGCCTTCATACCTCAGGGAGCTGGCTGGGAGCCCCTTGCTCGGGCCACGCGCTGCTCCTGCGGCGCAGTGGTTTTCTCGAGCACCTCCGAGCCTGTGGAGGTGCACTGGGAGCCATGTCGCTGGCCGAGGGCGCCCTGCAGGTGTGCGGGGAGGCACCAGACGTTTGCGTGCACGAATGCTGCTGGTGGGCCCTCGGGTGCAGATCATCAGAAAGACAGGTCTGGATTCCCTCGTGCCATACCTGCCGATGGAGGCATTCCTGGTATTGGCTCTGGATGCCGTCCTTCAACTTGCAATGCCGAGCAGCCTAATAGCGAGAGTTTTGTCATCCCTGGGACGAGCTCCGATCACTTGGATTTCACCAGCGCCCGCAAGCTGGAGCTGGTCAAGTGGAGGACCTACCTGTCGGAGCGGGCCGTGCACGTGAGGCCGCGGCCTTTCGTGCGGAGGCGGGCTAGACTGGACGAGGCGGCCTTCATCAGAGATCGGGAGCAGGAGCTGCGAGACTGGAGGTCAAGATGTTCGGAGAGGGCTGCGGGCCCGAGACCATTTGTGCGTCGGCGCGCTCAGGTGGATGAGAAGGCACGCCTGAATGCAGCTCCGACGGCAGAAAATTCCCAGGGTGAGAGACGCCGCAAGTATCTGAAATGTATTCCTCTGTATCCCACGCGCATGCACTAGACCGCTTTTCATATGACGATTGATAGTTATATTTCCCAGGGGGCCGAAGGTCTCCTCGCCCTGGCCCCTGTGACTCGCGCCTCTGAGGAGGCGGAGTGGTGGCACAGACTCTGCTGAGAGGCTGACAGCTGCCCTGCCCTCCCTTGGTGCTAGCATTAGCGGGTTCTGGCCCTGGTGGCTCCGTCGTGTTGAAGCTAAGGGAGGTGCAGGGTGGCTGTCTTCCTCCCTTGTTTTCCGATCGCAGCCCCATCGATCATGGTTTGGTGGGAGTGAACAGAGAGCCGCAGGAGGATGAGGAGGAGGAGAGGAGGAGGAGGAGGAGGAGGAGGAGGAGGAGGAGGAGGAGGAGGAGGAGGAGGCCGAGCAGGAGGTGGATGAGGAAGCGGGGGAGAAGGAGGAGGAAGCAGGAGGAGGAGGAGGAGGGGGAGGACGAGGAGGAGGAAAAGGAGGAGGAGGAGGA